GTGCTCTCTCTGTATCTTTGATATGTATCCTTTGGTTTTGCATGATCCCTTGCGTTACTCCCGTTTACCTCGAAATTCATAGGCGATGTTGGAGAAAATGTTGATCGCGGGGGAACGGCTGGTTCACGATCTTGACCGTGATACGATGTTTTGTAGGTGACCGACACGACGACGATCGTCGCGTCGCGCATTCGAGGAAGTTCGCGAGGAAACGGGACACGCTGTACAACGTGTTCACCGGAAAATTTCACTGTCCCAACTGTAACAACGGCTATGGCAGGCGAGACACTATGTTGGGCCACTTTAGGTACGAGTGCGGCAAGGCGCCGAGGTACAAGTGTCCTTATTGCACTCTATGCAGCAAGAAGACATCCAACGTTTATCAACATATCAGGTGTATACATCCCAAGGAACCCGTCACCCTCGTTAAGCTCTATTGAGTTCTCCTCAGTCCTCCCTCTCGTTCGTCGAGTTGTTTGCTCGTCGAGCAACGCGTGGTGGCATCGACCAAAGTATCGAAGCTGGTTACCGCTTTGCTCAACGTATCGCGACCACGCGGAAGCGCGAAAACGCGCAAACACCCGCGCACACCTCCTTCTCTCTCTCTCTCTCTCTCTCTCTCTCTCTCTCTCTCTCTCTTTTCGGCTGTTCGGAACGTTTTTCGGAATTAAACAACGCGAACGAAATCGCGTTTGGATCGTGAGATGTAGACGACCGATGTTTTCCGATTGTCGTTGGAACGAATAAAGGTACTAAAGAAGAAGAACAAGTTGGTTTCTCCTGGTTCATCTCGTATAAATTTTCCATTCGTATTTTCAGCAACGGCGAAGCAGCGTATGGAAGTCGACTCGTATTCGATTCGTTCCGTTTCGTTATGTTGCGTTTCGTTTCGTTTCGTTTCCTTTCGTTTCCTTTCGTTTCCTTTGGTTTGCTTTTTCTTTCGTCTCGTTTCGTCGTCTCGTTTCGTCTGGTTGCAAAAGGTAATTGCAAGTTGTGCGTATGTTCGTTCGATTAACGAACCTACCCGTCTGTTTCGTTTCAGATGTCGCAGAGTGGCTGATCGGACAAGAGGTGTTCGCGTGTCAGGTTTGCGACAATGGATTCCAATCGTAAATGATCTCGGAGGAGAAGGCATCGTCGCGCGACGAACGCGCGTTTGCCGTGCTTGTTATGGATTACGAAATTCATCGTCTCGGAAGTCACGACGAATCTCGTCTACCCGATGATTTTCCAATTCTACGTTACGTTACTCGAACTGATCGTTGTTCGGTTCCAGAGTTCCTACGAGTCGTTGTCGTCGTCATCGTCGTCATCGTCGTCATCGTCGTCACCGCTGCCACACCGTCATCGTTGCATCGTTCGTTGTAACCGAGTCTCTGGACGAGGACCGACGATAAGACTCTTCTCGCATATGCACGAGGAAGATTAAGGGATAACGAGCGGCGCAAACGGCTCTCGAGCCGAGCTTTTCGACCCGAGCTAATCGATTTTTGGCTATCGCGCGTCTCTCCAAAGCATACGGAGTCCTCTATGTATTCCTGTATAATAAACGAAAAAATCCAGGACGCAGAACGCGTACGTGAAAAAACTTACCTTCTCCTCTATTCGGACGGAATACGTTCGCGCGAACGAACGCGACGTGTTTTAAGCCCGGTTCATCCGATAATAACAGAGACGATACACCCGTATCCCGCTAAACGTCTCGAATTCTCGATGCTGCGCAGCTGAGATTAGCTTTAGTTCTCGTCACCCGTTCTCCCATCCATTGGTCGAACGTGTCACAGAGGAGATATCACTTGCTTCCATTTCTCTCTAACGGTCCATCCTCGTCTCTTTTTCTGCTTACAGACTTCAGGCCAATTGTCTTGGGAAAGTTCCACGGTGTCGTTCGAAATTCTCGGCACATGCTCAGGCTACAGACGTCTCTTAATCGGCACGGGTTTCCATGTCCAAGGTGCGCCCGTACGTTTCACACTTCCGGCGGCATGAGTCGTCACTACAGACTCGAGTGCGTCGATCTGCCGCGTTTCAAGTGTCCGCACTGCGATATGCGTAGCAAGTATACTCAGGCCGTGTACAGGCATATTAGGGCCAAGCATCGCAACATGGAGTTGAGGTTCGTCAAGCTTTATTGAATCCTCGTCGCTACCACGACGATGACTACGACTCCACGCGACGAGGACCACGTCCCGTCACAGTCGATCATCGCGCGTATACGTACGTTAGAAACGAAGCGTCTGTTACCGGCAACGCGATCAAGCGTATCCGTCGGTCTAACGCATAGGAAATTCTCTACAGACTTTGAAACCTCGTCGCGTTTCCATTCCACCGAGCCACGCGTACACCAGCGGAGACCGAAGAACGGAGAAGAACGAAAGAAGAGAATCGTCGTACCGCGTCTTTGTTAATTAATTATTACCATTATGCCGCACTCTCGTCGTCGCGTTGTTCTCGTCGTTGCCATTGTCATTGTATAACAGCGGTATTCTCTTTTGTGTATCGTCGTTGTATCGCCCGACGAAAAGAAAAAGAAGAAAAACAGAGCAAAAAAAAAAAAAAAAAAAAAAAAAAAAAAAAAAAAAAAAAGGGCATTGTACACCTGCGAGCGAGATCGTAATTTATCTTGCGCCTGTAGTCTCATTGTATACTCGATTGCACGTATGATCGATTGACGGAAACGCGAAGATCGTCCGTTTTATTTTTCTTTTTTTCTTTCTTTTTCCTCCTCCTGCCCCC